CGGGTGCCGCGGTCCTCTGAGGGCTGAGCGCCACCCGCCGACGGGCCCTGACCGCCGCTGCCCCTCCAGCCCCCGCGCTCGACGTGGACTGGCAGAACAACACGGCCTTCGCCTCCTGCAGCACGGACATGTGCATCCACGTGTGCAGGCTGGGCTGCGACCGCCCCGTCAAGACCTTCCAGGGACACACGGTGAGCCGGGCGGTGGGAGGGCCGTGGCCACGGGGAGGGCCGCGGGCAGGGGCGGGAGGCCCACGGCTGCCTAGGCCCATCATTCTGAGTCAGGGTGGCGTCTCCTTCGGCCCCCAGCTTTGCGTAGAGAGCTTCCGGCCACCCCGCAGGGCCTCCAGGCGACAGGCTGGAGATGGGAAGCCCTTAAGCTGCCAGCTCTGTCCCCAGCTGACCCTGCTCGGCCCCTGTGGCCCCCTCCCCGTGGCAGCAAGGCCTCCAGGGATGTGTGCACGGCCTGTGGGTGTACTTTCGGGATCACAGCCTGCCGGCCCTCTTCCCTTCCCACTCTCCCGGGGCGCACCCCGTCCCGAGTATGCTCTGGTCCACGCGCTCCGCCTGGCGTTCCCCTTCCTGGCCCGCTACCCACACCCGCGCTGAGGGGCTGAGCGGCCCTGGCCCTCGGCTGGGCCCCTGCCCCTGCCACAGCTCCCCACTCCCCAGGCTCAACGCGTAGGAGATTTGTGTTCCGACTGTAACTTACCTGGGCCGCGGGTCCCTGGTAGGTAAATTCAGCTAATCTTGCCTGGGGAAAGAACCCAGAAGAGGAAAAACCAGGTTACACCTGTTTGCAGCAAACATGGGGCTCTGCTGCCCTCCAGTGGCCACTGTGTTAATAGCAGGTCTCTGCTGCGCCGCCCCACCATGTTGATGGTGGAGCTCTGCTGCCCTCCTGTGGCCACTCTGTGAACTGCAGGCCTCTGCTGCCCCCACAGTGCTCGTGGCGTGGCTCTGCTGCCCTCCTGTGGCCACTTTGTGAATTGCAGGCCTCTGCTGCCATCTGGTGGACAATGTGCTGAACTGCTCCCAAACGCTTTGCTCCCTTCCAGAACGAGGTGAACGCCATCAAATGGGACCCTTCGGGGATGCTGCTGGCGTCCTGCTCGGATGACATGACGTTAAAGGTAACCGGGCTGCGCGGACGGGCTGGTGCCGGGGTCGCTGGCTCCCCAGCGGCCGGCGCCAGGGCCAGAATGGCCGGCGCCCCCCCCCAGCCAGGGAAAAGCGGGACTTGCTCACACTCCTGTCTTGCCCCTCCACCCCCCAGATCTGGAGCATGAAGCAGGACACGTGCGTGCACGACCTCCAGGCCCACAGCAAGGAGATCTACACCATCAAGTGGAGCCCCAGTGGGCCGGCCACCAGCAACCCCAACTCCAGCATCATGCTTGCCAGGTAGGGTCCTCAGCCAGCACCCAGTCTACACCCCCAAGGGCAGGCGGGAGGGCTTCCTGTGCCCTGGCGTGGGCCACCGGGGGTCTGAAGCCAGTGCAGGGAGCCGAGTGCGGGGCCTGGGGCTGCCTGGCTGTGTGAGGGCAGCGGGGGGAGGACAGTCCCCATAAGCAAGACGCTGTGAGCAGTGGGGTGGGAGCCACCCGCCCCCCTGGGGCCGCGCCGGCCGAGGACATGGACTCAGCAACCCCAAAGCTCAGGTCCCGACTCGGTCAGGGGCAACCCGGGCCGCATCACGAGGGGCTGCTCCCCGCGTCAGCTTGCCGTCGCAAGAGCAGCCCTGAGAGGCGCAAAGGTCCCTGGAGGTGAAAGTCACCGAATCTCAGTGACTCTGGCCGGACCAAGCGGCGTTATCCTGTCAGGCTACAGCCGCGGTGGCCGAAGCTGACGTTCCCCCCAAGGTCGACCGTTTGTGCCGGGGTTTCCGGGCACTCACTCCACAGAGACCCTTAGGCTGGTGGAGAACGGGGGTGCTGGTCGCTCTGACGCCCGATCACGGCGCACGGTGGGGGGGCAGAGGGCAGCGGGGATCCCACCACACCGCCGGCGAGCGTGACGCGCCCCCCTCCCACCGCCTCCAGCGCCTCCTTCGACTCGACGGTGCGGCTGTGGGACGTGGAGCGGGGCGTGTGCACCCACACGCTCACCAAGCACCAGGAGCCGGTGTACAGCGTGGCCTTCAGCCCCGACGGGAAGTACCTGGCCAGCGGCTCCTTCGACAAGTGTGTGCACATCTGGAACACCCAGGTGAACGCGAGCTCCCGCCCAGGGGCCCGGGCCGTGGGGGGGGACAGCGCCGGCCACGGGGAGGCTCTGGGGGCGGGGACCCGGCCTGGCCTCAGGCTCCCCCACAGCAGCAGGCACGCAGGCGGGCGGGGTGCTCACGCTGCTGCCCCCAGGTTCTGGGACGGGCCGGCCAGCGGGGCTCCAGGCTCCCCCTGAGCCGGGGGGAGCGACCTGGGGCCCAGGCACCGCCTCAGCGCAGCCTGTTGTGTCCCGCCACGTGCCCCTCCCCGCCCGTTCCTCCTTCCCTTCCTCCAAGCGTGGCCCACGTGGCCGACCCGCCCCGCAACGACGGCCTTGCTTTACAGAGCGGGAGTCTCGTCCACAGCTACCGAGGCACCGGCGGCATCTTCGAGGTGTGCTGGAACGCCCGAGGGGACAAAGTGGGGGCCAGCGCGTCCGATGGCTCCGTAAGCAGCCCCTGCGGTGAGGGGGCGGGGGCGGGCCCTGGGGTCCCCGCGCTCTCGGCCTGGTGCGGCGGGGTTGGCGAGTCGGGCTCGCTTCCCGGCACACGTGAGCGCACCCCCAGAGGTGACGGCCCCCCTGCCGCAGGTGTGCGTGCTGGACCTGCGGAAGTGAGGCGCCGTCCCGCCCCGAGGACCAAGAGCTGCAGCGGACCAGCAGCGGCGGCGG